AAATAAAATGTAATAAACTACTTGCGAATGTCTTTTTGACTATCAATCTACCAAATCATCTACGATATTAACCTAAAATCTTAACACTTTTTCATTATGATAAATACATTATAAACATACCCCTACAAATCGAATAAAAATAATTCAAATTATGACCATTTTAATAAAAATGTGTTACCAACTTGTTACCTAACCTTTCAAACTGTCATCTCTAGAAAAAAAATTAAATTTACAATTTTATTCGATTTGTTCTTCAATTATTCGACGAATATTTGTTTGTTCTCGCAAAAAATACCATTACAGTTACCACACAAGCATGAACATGGCATATTGGATTTTAAACATGTACCATTGCGATTAAAAAAAAATAGTACAACAAAATATGATTTAATCTGCTGGTCTATATTCTTGTGTCAGTGTCACGTAATTTTTAAAAAATGCCTTTAACTTCAGAGCAAAAATCGATTATATTTTTGCGATTAAGGGATGTGGTTCCCAAAAGAGACATTGCAGATGCATTAGGGATAAACAAAAAAACAGTGTTGTTGGCTAAATCCAAAAAAAAATTCAGTATAATTCAAATATCCTTATAGACTAGGAGTTCCATCTGGGACTACTAATTCTTGTACTACTTTTTTTATCGCAATGGTACATAGTTTATTACATCCAGATTTGCAATTACAGTAAATCATTTACAATACAAATTCTGGTGCCACTGCGTTTGACGTTGTTGTTGGAACTAAGGTATCCGTTTTTTTACTCCATCCACATTCTGTTGCCTCTTCTCCGTTATTTAGCCAATACTGCATTTATAAATAGGTCCTATAATAATGATTTTCAGCTGCGTTAGTTGTTGGAGGTAAGGTAGCTAAATCAAAATTTTTACTATAATAAGTACCTGACGAGATGTAAGGGCTTTATATTTAAAATACCTTAACTGATCTAAATCTTTTGCTAGCCTATGTCGACCATATAATGGAAATAAGAATGTATTTCCAGCTTCGGCTAGCTCAGATTTTTGTGCTGCAGGATCTAAAATAAACGGATGTAATTTGTCGCAGATGAGGATCTTTTTGCAACGTTTTGAAAGTCGCCAGTTTACATTACATTTTATTTTTTTCTTCCAGCCTAATTTTTCAAACTGTCACTGTATTTTTAAAAACAAGTTGTTTACAAAATGGTAACAATAAGACCTTGGTTTAAGTGCAAATAACCCCGACCGGGACAAGGTGGAGACTGCTTTCGCACATTATTAGTACACATGTATTTAGTAAAGGACAGCTTTTACAATTTTTGTTAATTTTGAAATATTATTAACCCACCAATAAAAAATATTTCTTGGAAATGGCACAAGGATTGTATTTCAGTTGAATTGATGCTAAATATCCATGTTATTTGTTAATAAGCTTAAAAAATTAGTAGTTTGCATTTCGTTGATCCCTTTTAAAAATTACTCAATTTTCTGTCGTGTAACGTCATTGCGTTAGGATAATAAACTCTTTTTTATTGATTCTAGAGTTTGATATAGAGAGAGTTTGAGATTGATATAGAGTTTTTTATTCTCTTTAATTTTTACCTCTTGGGGTTTTTCGCTATAACAAACCGTTTTCGAGTTATTTACATTTTTTCCCAAAAAGTACCAAAATTCAAGATGGCGACCGATTTTTTTTGATGACGCACACATCGGACAAATGGGGACTTTTAGTATATTAATAAGGGTTACTAAGGCTAACTCTTTTCAATGGTCGCAGCTTTCTAAAAATTTTTGCAATTTCAACATGGTGAATGTCATAACTGCATTGGGGTAATAACTAAAGTGAGAGAATCGAATATACGTTAATATTTCAAGACTGTAATAGTGGCGCCCCTGTGGGCGTCTAAAAAGAAGTACATACGTGCGCGCGGTCGGGTCGGTATAGCAGATTACATTTGGCGCGTCAGTTTCGCCCCAAATATTTTAAATATTAAGGATCGGTTCAATAATTCAAGTTCAAACCATAATTTGAACTTGAATTACTGTAAGAATAAGAACACGATAAATCAAAGCACAATATTTTATTCAAGTCAAATGACTAACAAATAGGAAAAAAGTACAAATTCTTTGTACCTAACAAGAAAAATAGAACTCTTGCAGACGAAGTATACAAAAAACAACCAAAATTTGTATATACCTAAAATCTACAATATAATATTAAATGTGTATTTCAAAAATAGGTACCTAGGCACATTTTAATAGAAACTAAACTAAATACAAGAGGACAGGAAGAAGTTTATTTCTAGTGTTTTTAATGCCCTTTTTAAATTTAAAATTTTCATCTGATTTTTTTTTGAAAAATATAATTTTTGTTTTCTTGGTGTTAAGTTTTTGATACGAGTTTCATTAATTTCTTTCAAAATTGAATTGGATTTAAAGTCGAGTTTAAACTGATTTTTTGATGAACCTTCATCGCTAGAAAAGTCTAGTTTACGTTTTACTGGCCACTTTACTTGTGAAGTGGACGTTCCACAATTAGAAAAATTATCCAAAACAGGTGACAAGGGTTCGGTTCTTAATTTTGAGCTAAACGACTGTGTTTCGGGTTTATAAATTATGATATTGCTTATTATATTTATAAAAGGTTTTTTTCTAAAAAAGGCACTGCATATTTGTTGAGTCTTGTTTTCATGGTATCGGTAAAATATTTATTTTCAAAATGTTCTTCGCACAGGTATGTTTTAACATTTTTGGGTTCTAACCTCATAATGTCAAACCATGCTTTTCTTTTTTTGTTATCTTTTTGGGGAAATGTAAAAAAATGTTTGTTTCTGTAATTTTCATCTGTAATGGGTGAGTAATAACAATTTTTACAGTTTTTTGCTGCACACCTGTATCGAAGGGTTCCTATATTTGATAACATCTTGACTCTGTAAGAAAATGGCGTGATCAGAAATGGTTTACATTACTACCTAACTATTTGCTTCCCTAAACTTGGACTATCTTTTTTAAGTTAAAAATTACTAAAAAAAATTGAAAAATCTAGGCAAAAAATACCCTTTTTTGGTTTTCTTGAATCCATGCGCTGCACGTGAGGCTGAACCCTGTGTACATTTTGATAGACTTTCATCACTTTTTCTCAGTTTTTAGTTCCAAGTCCACTCGGTAGGGCTGGAAGTTTTTATAGTGCGGCTAGGGCCAGTGGCTCCTAGCCCAGCAACTTTGGGCTTTGGTAACCTAACCTAACCCAATGTTATTCTCACCTCAATTCTCAGATTCTCACCAAAATTATTGTAGTGAAGTTTACAATATTTTGTAAGGAAGTATCTAAAGCAAAATAAGGTACTAAAATAACAAACATACTGACATACCTACATAATAAGTTTATAATGGTCCCAAATTAAATAAAATTTTAAATTAGTTAATTTTAGGAACTGTAAGAAGGAATTTTCAAACTGGGATAAAGAAAAAAATATATAAATATCACTGTACTGCTAACAAAGTAAATGAAGAGTGAAAATTTTCCTCGGCTGAGTGGCTAACTGACGTTTATTCTGGCGCCCACACGGCTTTTTAGATATTTCCAAATTTCATCACCTCAATACGCAATGCGCGTCTGGAGTGCACCATAACAAATAAAATACCGTCTAGTAAATGCCCTATTCAATAGGTCCTCTCACTTTAGTTATTATATTAGGTTTGTTCCAACACTTGCACTTTGCACTTCTTGCACTTTGTTAGCGTGCGCGGACTTCGAATAGTTTCGTGACGGTGCAAAAAGTATCAACGTTGGAACGCTTTATGGATTGTTTTCGGGACTGTCAAAAGTGTCCAGCGTGCGTGTATCGATCGGTTTTTTGTTTTTGTTCGAGGAAACAAGAAAATACGATTAAAGCCTACCTAAATATTGTTCATTTTTCACCCTTTCACTAGGCAGCAACTCCAAATTGTCTATTGATAAAGAAATCAGAAATCAATCATCGTCACTCATCCTTATAATTATTATCTATAGATAATTATAAAAGTGTACAATTAAAAATTTCCGAACGATTTACTCCACACAAACTCACAAACAAAAGTATAACGCATACGTATTCGAATTCGTGAAAAATAACCAAGACAGAAGCATCAGCCGGACGCCGGACCAGAATCAGCTGTTAAAAATCGATAATCCCTGCCAATATGCTTTAATGCGCAAGCCAATCCAAACAGTTCTCAATTTGGACCATGTACCGGAATTACCGTTCTGAAATCGTAACTAAACGATCCCAAGGTAGGTTGGTACGCAACTAGGATCGTCCGATAACCGTCAAATCTCGGTTGGAACACATTTGAATTACTGCGCACGAGCGTGATCGTTCGGTGACGGTTCTGCGGCGGGTTGGAACAAACTTTTCTATTTTGAACTAAATAAATTATATGCTCCTTTTAACATTTTAAATCAACAAAAAAATATGACGTTAATGAAAATAAATAATACCCAAATAATATTGATAATACCTGTCTATCAAAGAATGAAAACGAAATTATATTCACCATAGAAACGCGTTTTGATTTTTACGAATTCAATTTTTTATTTTTTTCTAAAACTGTTGGAGATTTGGAAAAGTATAAAAGGGATTAACGTTTTTACAACAACCAATTTTTTTTATAAAGAATATGATTTTGTCAAAATGTTAATAATAAAAAAGGTTTTCCTCTTGTAAAGACGATCTTCTATAAATAGGTATTAATTTTTATTAAATGTTAAACCATAATTTTTTTCTGTACTCCCAATGGACAACTTTTTTGAATTAAACATGTTTTTCTTATTCACATTATAGTCTGTTCAGAGCGAGGATCCATTACAATGACAGTTGCGTCTGTGATTTTAATTCACATGTAAATTTTATTTTCTGTCATTATTTGGATGTCGTCTGTCGAAATCTTTCCTGACTCCTTGGACAAACTATTAATTTCTTATAACACGATCATGCAGTATATTTTTGTAAATATCTGAATGAATTAATTTAAATTTTTGTTTCAGAGTGCCTATCCTGATCAAAGTAATTTATTTCCCTATATTTTTATTGGTATAGTGGCCTTGATTTCTGCTTCAATCACGTTTGCTGTTTTTGATGTAAGTTTTTTTATTTTTATACAGTTTGTGATTTATGTGATTTTTCATTATATTTTATTAATTTAGGTGAAATTTGCTTTCGGTGTTTTTGCATTGATTTGGATTAAAAATGACATAATAAAATCATAGATAAAAGAAACAAGTTTAGATTGAAAAGTGCCCGGCAATGTAAATACTATTTGGCGCTATTCTTAAAGCGGTCGCTCTCCAAAGCTTTAGATAATGCCAAATATTGTTTATTCAAATTTATTATTATTTTCTTTTAATTTTTTAAATAAAATGCAGTGTTGCATATAAGAAACTTTATTTTATGTGTATGAAATACCTATGAAACATTGGAAACTGACGTTATACCACGATCCACGATAGTTTTTGCAGTTCACAGTTCACACAGCTTTTTAAGTCTTTAATGACACTTTTCCGCAATTATCACGAGTTAGAGAAAATAAAATTCAATTTAAGCTTACAAGATAGAAATAATTAAATCCTTTATGGGTATTTTGCCACTGCACTGCAAGAAAATCTACAAAATAAAATAGTTATTTTTTTGTAAACACTTCTGCGTTAAACCTAAACGGACGCTGCTTGTCAGAAGTTATCTTTACAGTAATACAAATTTACCTAAAAAAGAAAAAAATGCTTAACGTTTCGGAAAGTTATCCCTTTCCGTCGTCGGAAGGAAAAATATTACAAAGAATAAAGAAAAAAAACTATTTAAAATATTTGAATTCAACTATTCGAGAACACTTTACTTTCTTAAAACAATACGTCTACAAAAAACCGTTGACGTTCTGTTAAAATGACAATAACAATATAAATAATCTAAAAAAAGTAAAGTGTTCTCGAATAGTGAATTTAAATATTTTAAATAGTTTTTTTCTTTATTCTTTGTATTTTTTTGCTTCCGACGACGGAAAGAGATAACTTTCCGAAACGTTAAGCATTTTTTTCTTTGTGAGGCTAATTTGTATTACTGTAAACATAACTTCTGACAAGCAGCGTCCGTTTAGGTTTAACGCAGAAGTGTTTACAAAAAATAACTATTTTATTTTGTAGATTTTCTTGCAGTGCAGTGGCGAAATACCCATAAAGGATTTTTTTGGAGAGATGAATCCGCCACATAGGTATAGACAGCAAAATAAAAACACTGAATCACCACAATACACCAAATCACTTTTACGTTTACACTGGACGCGCGTTTCGCTAACCATGTTAGCATCATCAGCAGATGTTTATAAACTAAAGTACAATCTACAAGTTGAGCGTTTATATACTCGCTCAGTGAGCACCGACTGGGCGTGGCAAAATCTAGCCAACCGAGTCAGAGCCAACTGAGCGTAACAGTTAGATTTCCGCCACTAGATTAGTAGGAACAAAGAACTTGAAGGAATTGGACCGTTGACTCTGTTCATACTATCTTTACATTTATTAATTCTGATGCTTTCAATTAAACGCGCGTCCAGTGCAGAAGTAAAAGTGTTTTGGTGTATTGTGGTGATTTAGTGTTTTTATGTTGCTGTGTAACACCAAAGGTTCCAACCCTCAACTGTAATAGGTATAGACATTTTTTATAGAAGAAAAAAAATTACTTTGAAAATGGACGCTTTAAACACTTTTCGGTATTTTTTCAATGAGGGCTGTTTAAATAAAGTTTTTATAATTTTTGAAGTTTTTATGTATGACTTAGTTTTTATATATGACTTTGACAAGAGAAAACTATTTCTGTTCTTGTTTGCTGTTGTTCTGAGCAACCGCTATAGCAGCGCCCTACAGCGTATGCGCTGCAAAACAATTATAAGTTTTATCGGCAAGCCGAGCATTCCAATCTAAACTTGTTTCCTTTATCTATGAATAAAACTTAATCTGTTACTTTTGGGATATCTGTCAAATTTGACATTTAGCAAAATAGATAGGGTTTCTAAGGAATGGTTTTATTGGAATGTTAAAAGACTTTATTAGAAAAAGTTGTTTCTTTTTAAGCTTTACGTAAAGTAAACCAGTTTCAACCATCTATATTAAATGTTGATTGGTAGCATTTGTCACGTTTGAAGTAAAAATAACTGATGGTAGAGAGTTTGTTAAGGGTGGCTGCAACGATGTCAACGATGTCAACATTGCAGCCACCCTAAGTCGGTCAAATTTTTATCTAGCGGTCATTAGTGTTGTAAAATGGTTGACAATTTATTGGAGAAACGAGAATAAAGGGCAAATGTCGAGAATTTATAATTAGCGCAAAGAAAATGGGTTGGAAAATTAGCTATTATCACTTACTTTTTTAAATTTTATTCGGAATTTTCTCGTTTTTTCTTATTAATTATCGAGAAGAACGAGAATTTTGAGAACACTGAAGAAAAAATTGAGAACAAATTATCTTTTTTTCTCGGGATATTCATATTGCAGTAGGGCCTCTATAACCCGAGCCGTCAGTATTTTCATCCTATTTGGATTCTACAGGGTGCGTCTTAAATAAGGGCAAATATTTTAGGGATACTATAATTTTTTTAGTTTTTAGTTAAAAAACACAATTTCTTGATAATAGGGAAGTAGTAGATTAAATTTACAAAAAAGAAAATCCAGAAAAGATCAAGTGATTCTCAAAATTTTAGCAAAAAATTATTTTTTTTGGAAAAAACAAAATAACTCGGTTATTTTGGACTTATTTGAAAATCGATAAAGAGAAAATATGTTTCTTTTATCGAGATCTACCAGCCTTGAAAATATTTGCACTTATTTAACACTCACCCTGTAGAGGCTTACGAATTATCGGGAGTTCAGATTATCGAGTCCCTACTGTACTGCAATTCGTAAGTTCAAGCGGCAAATCATTAGCTAAATCTATACAGGGTGTTTTAAATTAGTACAAATATTTTTAGGTGTAATGTACTTCGACTCCAGAAACACGTTTATGAGGTTTTTCGCGAAAAAATATTTTGAAAATTTGAAATTTTTTTATTTTTTTTGGAAATTCTTAGTTAAAGTTAAAAAATATAATATCTTGATGATATAGCAACATAGATAGTAGATTAAGTTTACAAGAAGGAAAACCCCGAATGATTATCAGAATTTTCAGCGAAAAATAATTTTTATGTTAAATTTTCAAAGTAACTGGGTTATTTTGGACTTATTTGAAAAACGGGAAAGAGAAAATATGTTTCTTTTTTCGAGATCTACCAGTCCTGAAAATATTTGCACTTATTTAAGACTCGCCCTGTATAATAGAAGTATAATAGTATATTGGGGAATCCCCGAACTTAATAACTAATTTTGGCGACAATGGTAATGTTACACTTACGGAAATTTTAAACGGAAACAACTTTTCGGCCAATGTCCCAGGCTAAAAACCAGACATTTGTCTGGACAGGTCAGTTTTTAGACATTTATTTATTTACCGTCTATTTTTTTAATTTTTTTTCTAAATTTAACATTCTGTGGATCCTGAACCTAGTGACTTGTATCATAAAACAGTGTCAGATTTGACAGGTAGCAGATTTACTTTATTTATTATTTGTATTCCAACTTTACTTTTAACTTGCAACAAATGGGATTTTTTATTGGGTTACTAGGTAGTATGCGGAATAACTCTAAGCTAATAACAAAAAATATTTTGACATGCTATGCAACAACTGTTATAGTAATAAATGTCAATTTTTACGATATCAAACTTGTAATGGCTTATAGAAAAAAATAACTGTAACAACATTTTTTTTTCATCTAGAATAGAGTATAATATTAATCATTTAAAAATACAGTATGATCGAAAAAAAACGACGGCAAATACGGCTGGGGAATGACAATCGATAATAATTTTCGCCAGGTCAATCTCTAGGCGTCATTTAACAAAAATTAACACTAATTATAGAAAGATTAAAAACGAATTGAACGTTTCCAGACATACAAATCAATTTCCAAAAAAATATTTTTTCTCGAATTTTAGACTACACCATTTAAAAACCATTCTTACCCAATATAAAAATAAATTACAAGTCTAGTAAACGACGTCTAGGGCTTGACCTCGTCAAAGTCATTCCCCAGCCGACTTTGACGCCGTTTTTTTTTCACGATCAACACTACAATAAACAATGGCAAGGTGCACAGTTACTCGGTTTATTTCATACGTTTGGCAACGTTTTCACTGTTTTCCGTTTGTTCTGTCCATTATAAATGCATTGTACTCTTCTTACATACGGAAATCTCGACCCAAACATAAGCTTTGCCAGCAGGACTATAAAATTATTTTTGAATGTGTTTAAATTTCTATTTTTTCATATGAGAAACGGATTTTGTAACCATAGCAGAGTTGTCGCATGACCTGTATCAAAATTATTTTTTTGTTAATGGGTATGCTGAAATAATTCCATATATACTTTTCAGTGTCTCATCTCAATGAAAAAACATTTTTGTAAACTTTTTGGCACACGCTGTGTATTAATTTACTTTGTTCTTTTATTATTCCAGACAACGATTGACTCGCTTTTCATATGCTATTGTGAGGATCGACTTATAAATGACGGCATGGAAAAACCATACTACATGTCCCGAAATTTAATGGAGTTTATCGAAGATTCTAAGAAAGTTTACGATAAAACTAATAATTAAAAAACAGTTCTTACTACAAGAAGGCATATTTCATTTTGTTTTTTGAAATGTCGTATAATTAAGATATGCCATATTTGTGTTTATTTGTAGAGTTTTCCATTTAATTTTTTTATATAATTGTTCAATTTAGTTTCTTATTTGTTCGGAGTTTACGTTTTAATTTCCTTTTACATTGGGGAAAATAGCAAGTATTAAAACTCGTTTACACTGTATTAAAATTAAATTATGTAAGTTAATTTTGAAAAAATGTACATGTAAACGAGTTCCTAGTTTTAATGATTTTTATATAAACATTTATTATATTTAAGAATTGTTTTCTTGCAAATACATTTTTGTATTGTAAACTATATTTTGCTATGATGTATTTACAAATTGTTCAATTAAACAATACTAATTTCAAAATAAAATATATAAAATGAATGTGTTATTGTTCACAATTATATATAATGCTTACACACTAAAAGTATAATATATTTTGTCATTTAAAATTAGTAATAATTTACTTCTGAAGATGACAATAAAATGTTAGCTTTCCGCATTTGTTTTTTTTTGGAATTGTAATGCTAAAAGTCGATATTAGTATTTCTGCTAAATAAAAAAAACGCTGTCATTTTATATGTAAAATTATATGGGGAATGTGGGAATGTCATCGATGTTCATTTCCAAACCAACTGACCGCTGTTTTTTTTCGACCATACGGTATTAGAAAGTGTAAAAAGAACATTCTAAAAATAATTGAAAAGGAAATCTTTTGATATTTTCAGAAGGGCTAACGTGTATTATAATTTATTATTCTACCTTATAAAACTTGATCAGTTCAACTACGGTAGCAAGCACCGGTTTTGCTAGTGGGTTTTTGCTAGTTTTGATGGGCTATTTGGGCTGTAACGAAATTTTAAATTTGGATAATTATAATTTTAGATGTTCATAAAAGATGTAAGCACTAGTTAAAAAAGTATACCATTAATATTGATCAAATTAAATTTTATCCTCATATTATATGCCTATTTAATTTTTAGATTATGTAATGGGCAATTTGTTTACTCACTTATTTTTGTTTCGTCGAACTGCCTGATTCCATCTTTGCTTTTGATCAGATCGGTGTGGGAAAGCTGGGAAAATACCTATAAAATGTTGTTCTGGGAGAGTTATGTATACCGGGTGCGTCTCAAAAGTGGCTCACCCTTATAACTTTTTTATTTTCTCAGATAAAAAAACGAGATTTGGTATGTTAGTATATGACATAAATTAGGATTGATTGACGTACTCAATTGTTTTTGTTCACTTCCTGTTTCACCGGAAATTACTACAACTTGTGATTTTTAAATGGCACCCTCGGTATTTTTTTACTTTATTCGATAGAAAATGACATTCTGAATAGAATGACATATCATATGTCAACTTTTGACATTCTCGCTTAAAACAGAATTGAATTTTAAAATTCAATCTAGAGTGCCATGGTTATGTTAAAAGCACTAATTCTTAATCAAGGAGCCTTGGAAAAATAGATTTGATTGTCTAATGTTTTAAGTGTCTTGTCCTGGCCAGTTAGAAAATGCTCAAATCGTATTTTTAATCATATCTCCATTTTTTCAAATGGAACGATGGTGGCTCATTAGCATATTTGGAAAAAGCATTTTTGTACGAATAATTTGGTACCACACACTTGGTATTTCGAGTCAAATTTTCGTTACGAACCGCAAGTTATAATTTCAAATAAACCATATGCGAAAATGCCAAAAGTTGACATATGATATGTCATTCTATTCAGAGTGTTATTTTCTATCGAATAAAGTAAAAAAGTACCAAGGGTGCCATTTAAAAATCAAAAAAGTTGTAGTCATTTCCGGTGAAACAGGAAGTGACCGAAAACTATTGAATGCGTCAAGTAATCCTAATTTATGTCATATACTAACATACCAAATCTCGTTTTTTTAACTGTAAAAATAAAAAAGTTATAGGGGTGGGAGCCACTTTTGAGACGCACCCGGTATTAAATGTTATAGCTCCCAACAACCACGCAATTACGCCCCCCTTTTCGTGTTAACATTTTTTCGGCAATTTTGTTATCGTTTGAAATTGTTACAACACAAGGCGACGCCCAGTTCGGGTTCTTTTTCACTTAATTTTTACTACCCGAAACAGTGTTACATCACACAAACTTCCCATACCTGAGAAGTTTATAATTTCAATTAACTGCACTAGTAAAAACCAAAATAATCAATGCGATCAGCAAGAAAGACAACCGGGACAGCGTGAAATAAAGTAGCCGGACAGTTCTGATTTCTACCGTACCGAGCGCTGCTATAGGAATTTTAAAAAATCGGTTGAAATGCACCAAGCCTATACACACTATACCATACAGTGTTTTCGCCAATCAATGCAGTTACCTCATTTCGTGTAAAACGGTACCAGCTTTATCATCATCGGTACTAAATTAATCATCTCTCTCACTTAAATAAGGCAAGGTTGGGCCTTCTTTTTTGTGAAGAAATACAGGTCATATGGAACATTTTCAAAATTTAGGAAAATTTTGGAAATTATTGTAATCCAACTTTGACGATGTTTTTTCCGATCGTATAAAGGTGCATTCAGGCTGGGAGCGTCGAGCGTCGAGTTTAATCTGAACCACAGAATATACTAACGAAAAAGAAGCCCAAGTTCCTTGTAATAAATCGGTTCCATTTTCGTAACGCCATCTCTCGACAAAGCTGCCATTTACAGGTTAGCCAAAGGGGTGCGGGGCCGGGGGGAATTGTAAAATATACTTTTTTATTTTAATTATTTTTATTCCCTATTTGCAATTTTATTTTTAAAACATATTATCTGAAACAATCACATAATATGTCTTAAAAATAAAATTACAAACGGAAACAAAAGGAATTAAATAATCTGAAAATCTACAAAGTTTATTGATAAAAAAGTTAGGCTATGCAAATTGATATATTAAGTATAACCTCTTTGGTATAACATTGTTAAACAAACATTAACAAATCATAACATATCAGATCATAGAACTGAAAAAAGTACTATGACATAAAAACAGGTGATACAATACTTTAAAATTAATTTTAACATAATATCAAAACCGAAAAATGAAATTGCAAACACAACCACACTTATCACAACAGAAATTAACACACACTTCCGCGGCAAATGTCCAAGAAAGACTGATCATTCTGATTGGTCCTGGTCCGGTCGTAGCCATATACGTATTACTTTTTACAAATATACTCAGGGTTCCCTATTTAACCCCGTGTGCAATTTCTGTGCCGTAAGAAAAAGACAACATAACCCAGCTTCATATTAAAACTGCATAAGTCTATTTCACCCGGATATGGATTGAACTGCGATTGCGCCAAACTCCGATTGATTGTTGTTTTAGTTCTGTTTGGATTACTTTTTATTTGTGCGCGTAAAAGAGTGATTTTGTTTAGTTTATTGTTTCCAACTATTTTTTGATATTTTTCCAACTCCATGATAATGTGTTATAAATAATAAAAATGTAAATAAAATTGAAGGTTAGGGGAAATGTCAGTCAACCACTTCCCTTTAAAAGCATCGACCAATGAAAACTTCTTCAGGTGAGGCATGCTCAGTTAAATGAATATCCGGGTGAAATAGACTTATGCAGAATTCCATATTGTTCTTTCACTGTTTGGGCTTCACTTTTTGGAGATTAGGCTGAGTATATTTGTAAAAAGTAATACGTATATGGTCGTAGCTCACGTCGTATTGTCGGTAAGCAAAATCCCTGTCCAAAAATCTTGACGATCAGCGCCATCACCCGTCATAATTGGGAAACTTTTGCTGGAACCATTTTGAATATTTCACTTACATGGCCCTGATCTGAACTGTTTTTCGGATAACTGTCTAGCGTTCAGTGGTTGTCATTGCGTTTGAGGACCAGCACGCAGAGGTGCTAATCGCTGAAATACAGGCAAGACCTGTACTGTGGAATGCAAAATTGCCTCAATATAAAAATATAAATCTGCATGATTGACTACCGTAAAATGGGGTGAATAGAAACATAGTGGTGAATAGAAACAAAATTTCTGAAAAAAATCAAATCACGATTAAAAATATTCAAAGTAAAGAGAGTCGACATATCTAATTTTTCTATCATTGGTAATACACAATAAAATGTAAAAACTATATTTTTATCTGTGGCAGCACTGTTTCTGTCAATCAACTGATCAATAAATGTGAGATCGATTTATCACCTATTTTGTATGGCGCGAAAACTTTATAAATAAAATATTTATTTTTAAAGTAATACATAAGCTGTTACATGTAAGTTGTTATATTATATGTATTGTTAATGCTTGTTAAACCTACTTAAATATGTAATAATTTACTGTTTCTAATCACCTTGTTGGAAGTATAATAGATAAAAACCTTAACATCAATGTGTGTTTCTATTCTTCCGAATAGCAGGTGAATACAAACACAAATGTTATTTTTATTTAATATTTATATGCATATTTTTCAAAAATCAAATTATATGTATACGCAAAGAACAAACAAAGACCCATGCTTTAAAATATTCGGGAAAATAATACCACATTTTTATCAACCGGTATATCGCTAATAGCCTACGAAACTGTTTCTATTCACCCCATTTTACGGTACTTGAAGAAATAGCTACAATTCTAGGTATTTCTTGTAAGTATTTTTTCACAGTACGAGTAAACACATGAGAGCTTTCGATATTCAAGACATAAATGATGAAATTCTCCATGCAGATATCGTCTTCTGTTTATAGGGTGAATTCCTACTTTTTTGTCCATTCTTTTGAATGTAAAATATGGTGGTTCCAATAGTATAGTCTGTCCAACGAGAAGATCCTTGACAGTGATAGATGTGTCTGTCATTTTAATTTCAAAATAGTTTATTTTATTTTACAAAGAAACAAGTTGGTACAACTGGAACGCATAGCAGGAAATTAATATATTTAAAATTTGACTGACAAGTGATTACTTCAAAATATTGTGAAAAAAACTGTATAAAATTGAAAAAATGTAATCGAGTTATTTTATTTAATAAAAAACGGTATGTGTTAATACAAAACAAACAAGAACAAGACACCACATACCAAAAAAAAAAATATAAAAAAGAACTATTTCTTACTTTCAAGCTTTATGAAACTTCCCGCATTTATGATTATATTTATGAATATAACTTATATACAAATACAAATTTGTAATATTCCGCAGGAATAAATAAAACAAACTATTTTATTCATAATAACACTTAACAAATTTGATACCTTAAAGGTTGATTAATTAACTTTAATATTAATTTTTTTAAACCAGTACCTTTTGACATTATTTTTCTGCAGTATACTAAATTCCATTATTTACCTATCGTGTGATGTCGATATTTTACAGCTACTCCAGTTTTAAGTTATGTGTTTAATATGGTCCTTCTACCATATTCGAGATGCACTTATCTACGACGAGATGGTATACGAACTTTATTGGTGTCAGAGTTGGTGTATAAGACTTTCTACCTGGGCAGCGAGTATTAACCTGTATTAACCATAAACTGTGCTCTGGATCTACAGTTAATTATCTCTCGATTTTTCCTCCACTTAACTTCAAAAGACACAAAACACACGTAATAACACGAATCAAAATGCATCATCTTCCAAAACGCAGGGTATTTGACAAAAGCTCTGACAAAAGGTGACACAAAATTATAACCTATAATTTGGCAAGACTTTGACAAGCGTCAAAAATCTAAAGGCGAGTTCATACGCATCGGCGTTCGTTTGCCGTTCATCGTTCCGTCAAACCAATAAAATTGAAATACGATCTGTCATTTTTGAAATAAACCAATAAAACTGGTTAAAAACAACAAGAGACAACGCATGACGGATTTATATTTAAAGCCATCCATAGTTAACTTAAAAATTATTAGAAACTTTTTTTAGTAAAATAAATAGATTTGTATGGGACATCATCTGCTTTTCTTCTGTCATCGTCTGTCGAAATCTTACCTGAGAAAAAAAAAACAGAGTATAACATTAGACAAACTGAACAACTCTCCTTGAAGCCATTTTACAAACTGAAAATGAAAGACTAATGACTAAAGAACAAGCTCATGCTGATGCTCCCAGCCTGAACGACCGGACGCGACGCGACGCTCGACGCTCTCAGCCTGAATGTACCTCAATATATTGAGGAAAGTGCCCTGTAAATTTTGAAAATGTTCGGCATTTCCTGTAAAGGCGGGTTCTCACTTGTCAGTTTCGCTGACGCAGTCTGACTGATTCAGTGATACTGAACAAACAATGAACTTCAGAACACATTTTCATGTTAAATGATCAGTACATTCGTACTTTCAGTTAAAGTGAAAACCAGTTCTACTTTTTTTCATTTTGACTGATCATTATCGAATAATGAATAGAAACTGAAGCGTGAGAACTACATTTTCGTGATTTGTGCAGTTTACAAGTTAAGTTAATTAATTCTTTTAATATAGTTTCACTAGCACCCCGTTTATTTCTTCGCAATATCCAGGACCTGACCACCTACGACGTTTTTTTTTTCTCTTTTCTGATTCACCAGAATATTCTGTAATTCATTTGCTAATTGTAAACAAACTTCGCGAACACCTGGTTTCAATTTTGTTTTAACCATTTTCATGTCTATACGAAATCACCACATTAGAATGTTTGGACTAACTGAATACTGAATGTAGCAAAACATGAAACGTGTGAATACAATCGTTGTTTTTTATTTTTCATTGATAATGAATCAGTCAGACTGCGTCAGCGAAACTGACAAGTGAGGACCCGCCTTAACACTTCACAAAAAATAGGGTTAGAAATCTTCATATATTGCTGTCAATTTATATGTAGAACTAGATGACCCGGCTGATGAACTTCGTACAGTCTAACAGTCAGAGCTGTCACTTTCAATAAGATTTATATCTTTTTATATGATTTAAATACTTTTTTCGATTTACATCATTTGATCTGAAATCTTTTTACGGAAAATGATTTTTGATTTAAGATTTAAATCTTTTTAGAAACTATATTTGATTTTGAACTTATAGGCCAGTAAGCGAGGATAAAAATAGGGTATTACCTCCGAATTCTTGACACCTGCACTAAAGTTGTTCAACCGACTAGACAAAATGTGCTGCCAACTGGACGACAAATCGTGAACCTTTCGGGGCGGAGTCAAAAATATCGATTATTTTCGTTATTTTCCTCAGAGTAATGTAATAATATAGCCCCGGGTTTCTGCGAACTTTAATAATGATCAGCTGATTAAGAAATTTAAACGAAACTTTTATTTTATTGTAAATTGTGGAAATTGTTAATTAATATGTAAAAAAAAAGTTACATACCTATTTTAATTTGATTTTTCAGCAGGTTTATAAAAGAATAATTTCATTCTTAGATTATTTTATTCTAAATTGAGTGCTTACGAATTTTACGATATTTTTTTTTGAAAACATAAAACTTTTTACATTTTTGATGCCAACTAATTGGCATGGTATTATTGGTATGAGAATTAGCCAAGAAAGAAAGGAATTGGCTATAACTTGTAATTGTTAGAAAGAAAACATATTATACCTATATCGTTGAAAAGCTTAAAGAATGGCGCTTTTTATGAAGTCATGGCCAACTAGGATTTCCATTAAAAAAAAAACATAATGTTTGTGTCATATGTCAAAAATGACAGGCTTTAGAAAAAAAACAGAAAACGCAAACTCATTAGGTATGTGATTATCTACAACTTTTATCTGAAAACTTTTTGTCTAAAATACCATATGATCGAATAAAAACGGCGTCAGCGTTGGCTATGAAATGACGATCGATGATATTTCCCATATAATTTTCATATAGAATGACAACGACCTTCATTTCATAGCCATCGTTGACTCCGTTTTTATTCGATCATACGGTAGATTATAATGGAATTAGAGACAATTTTTAAAATAGCCAAAATTTGTGTTTTTCGAAATATCTAGTAAGCCTTGAACTTCTCCGAAAAACCGAAAGGCGCATATTTACGCATATTTATGACCCCACAAAACTGCAATTCTTTCCCCATTTAACCGACTCTCTATCTCCAGTAGTTTCCGAGATACCCATAGATAACATCGTAGTATCATCCTGTATAGTATTTAGAAACTAACTATTATTTTTATTTGACTAGATTAATGTGATTAATAAGACTCGATTAATTTAATTTAAAATAAATTTGATCAGATTTTTTTTTCGTATATTCTACTACCAGAAAATCAAAATTATATGATAACGCACTTTTCAACGAAGTTGAAAGAATATATAGCGTATCTATCACAATACTTAATAGAATTACTACAATTAGAAGAAAAACAAAAAGAAAAAATACCCAAATACCTTCACCTACTACACATCTACAAAATAAACGAATATAATCTCTTATAAAAACACTAAACAACTACTTCTTGTATTTTACACTGAAAAAATTATAAACTTACTAATTAATCAAACAAAAAGAAAAAATAACCAAATTATCCCTTCACCTACTACTTAACTACAAAATAAATAAACTATAAAAACACTACGAAACTATTTCTGGTATGCTACACTAAACATTATAATTAAACTTAATAAAATTAATCTAATTTTACACTACAACTACAAAGAAATAAGAACATTTTTTAAAACTAGAAGAAACAGAACTTCGATACGTGCGACCAGGATAATAGGTCAAGGAGACAAAGAATATAAAATACTTTAAAATGTGCATTCAGAAAGAAAAAATACCTCGAAAATTATCTAAACAAACATTTTTTTTTCTTATCAGTGAAAACCGACCAGTGATATCGGTATCAGTGATACCGACAAATTCCGCATCGGCCTCGTCGGCCTTGCGGAATTTGTCGGGTATTTACAATGGTCGAATTGTATAATTACCAGCTTTTATAGCATATCTAGTAGACAAAAAGTATCTGGTCAATTAGTAACCAATTGGCACGGTCCGAAAATTATCGATTTTTATTTTCTCTGTTTTTATTGGTCGCTTCAAAATTCAGAGCAACAAAAAATATTTTTCAGTAGTAAAAGCACAGAATATCTAGCTACGCAACAGAAGCCTCGTTACATGTATAAAATCGTAGGTAGCAAAAGGAGGCAGGCTTTAAGAGCCTGTCTCCAAATCAGATATTTTGATGTGGTAGTTTCACTACTACATAACAGAGGGCGATAAATTTAAAAGAAAACAGTTTTCTACAAACGAAATTTAAAAGAATTTTATGCAGTGTTGCCATTGTGTAATTTATATTGTAATATTTCCTGATAAAGCCTAGCTTCAAATTTGCTACATCATTTAAACATATTAAGAGCTCTTTTTCAAACGTTTAAGTATTTAACTTGCCATGTTAGTTGAGTTAAAATCTTACGAGCTGAATTAAAATCACTTCCTGACGTTTGATTCTAACTGAATCCTGAATTTTGATTGTAATTCGGCGACAATATAATAAGTATTGTTCTACTATTATGACACCACTTTCTGACGTTCGATTGTGTTCATACCGTATGATCGGGAAAAAACGGCGTTAGCGATGGCTATGAAATGAAAATCGCTGTCATTTTATGTGTAAATTTATATGGGAAATGTCATCGATCGTCTTTTCCCAGCCAACTAGACGCCGTTTTTTTCGGTATCATACGGTATTTGACACAGAATATCTAGCTACGCAACAGAAGCCTCGTTACATGTATAAAATCGTAGGTCTCAAAAGGAGACAGGCTTTAAAAGCCTGTCTCCAAATCAGATATTTTGATGCGGTAGTTTCACTACTACATAACAGAGGGCGATAAATTTAAAAGAAAACAGTTTTCTACAAACGAAATTTAAAAGAATTTTATGCAGTGTTGCCATTGTGTAATTTATATTGTAATATTTCCTGATAAAGCCTAGCTTCAAATTTGCTAAATCATTTAAACATATTAAAATAGATTAGAGCTCTTTTTTCAAACGTTTAAGTATTTAACTCGCCATGTTAGTTGGAGTTAAATCTTACGAGCTGAATTAAAATCACTTCCCTGACGTTTGATTCTAACTGAATCCTGAATTTTGATTGTAATTCGGCGACAATATAATAAGTATTGTTCTACTATTACGACACCACTTCCTGACGTTCGATTGTGTTCATACCGTATGATCGGGAAAAAACGGCGTTAGCGATGGCTATGAAATATAAATCGCTGTCATTTTATGTGTAAATTTATATGGGAAATGTCATCGATCGTCTTTTCCTAACCAACTGGACGCCGTTTTTTTCGGTATCGTACGGTATTTGATATATACTTGCGTATTTTTCATGGCATTGCAATATTATGGTACCATGAAGCATATCAAGTGATACCGTAATATAGTACCATATTACGATACATGGCGTTCGATTGGGCTTAAACTTGGTATATTACGTATCTTCAGTGACATTGTAATATTATGGTACCATGAAGCATATCAAGAGGTACCATAATAGTACATAGAGGTACCATATACGATAGAGATACCATATACGATACCATTTCCTGGCGTGCGATTGGACTTATACTTGGTATAGTAAGTATCTTCGGTGACATTGTAATATGATGGTACTATGATGCATATAAAGTGGTACCTTAATATAGTACCATATTACGATACCACTTCCTGACGTTCGATTGGGCCCATATTTCACTATACTTGCGTATTTTTGATCACATTACAATATTATGGTACCATGAAGCATATCAAGGGGTACCATAATGTAGTACCATATTACGATACCATTTCCTGGCGTTCGATTGAGCTTAAACTTTGTATACTACGTATTTTCGGTAACATCGTAATATGATGGCACCATGGAGCATATAAATTGGTACCTTCTATAGTACCATATTATGATACCACTTCCTGACGTTCATTTGGGCTCATATTTGATATATACTTGCATATTTTTGATAACATTGCAATATTATGGTACCATGAAGCATATCAAGAGGTATCATAATAGTACCATATACGATACCATTTTCTGGCGTTCGATTGGGCTTAACTTGGTATAGTAAGTATCTTCGGTGACATTGTAATATGATGGTTCTATGATGCATATATAAAGTGGTACCTTAATATAGTACCATATTACGATACCACTTCCTGACGTTCGATTGGGCTCATATTTGATTATACTTGCGTATTTTTGATGACATTGCAATATTATGGTACCATGAAGCATATCAAGGGGTACCATAATGTAGTACCATATTACGATACCATTTCCTGGCGTTCGATTGGGTCCAAATTTGATATACTTGTGTTTCTTTATAAAGATTTGTTTAATTAATAATTTTAATTTATTTTACGAATTTTAATTTATTGTACGATGTCGTGACAGCAACTTTTATGCCGAACTAATATATTATTAATTGTACCTGTGTCACTTTTTAAAATCTACCTAGGTCTATATAAATAACGTGGCAAACAGAAAAAAATTGTTATTATAGTATTTTTTTAGTCAATTAACATTTTTTGTACTGCATTTAATAAATCATTTCCATTATTATTAAACGTATATTTCATTACTAACATTTCAGCATTAATAAATATCACTATCAATCGCTCTGTATATTATTAATTTTAAAGGAAGTTAAAGTTATTTTCTTAGTTAACATAATAAAGTAGTGTATATTAAAAATGTATTTTGAGAGCATATGTTTTCTATTAATATACTTAAAATTAAAACTATTTTAAAAGCCAAACGAATAATTAATATAAGTGTATCTAACAAGTAACGAAGAATAGAAAGGAATTATTATACACCAGAAAAAGAATGGGATGCCAATTAAAGTCTGTTTGAATCTGGCAACTGTGCATTTTTAGCCGAGCTTGCGCCGTCGACGTGCCGTCGATCTACGTCGATCCAAAACCGAAAGTTGAAAATTTCCAATTATATTCTGATTATGATATTGTCGCGCCATCTAATATTTTATTTGTGCAATTTTAGCTCTTTCATTTCGAGTATTTTTCTGTTGCGTAGCTAGATATTCTGTGGTATTTGATATATACTTGCGTATTTTTCATGACATTGCAATATTATGGTACCATGAAGCATATCAAGTGATACCGTAATATAGTACCATACTACGATA